GCATCATCAGCAGCAGCTACAGAAGTAGCAGCAGCAGCAGATGCAGCAATATCATAATCCGCATCATCACCAATATCATGATCATACTAAGACGATTCATCATGATCAGCAGCATCATCATCGTCATCATCAGTATCAGCATTCGCATTAGTATTATCATTACATGATCATTAGCATCAGCGTTGTCAAGATCGTCATCATCAGCAGCATCATCAGTATCAACATCATCCTCAGCATCATCGTCACGAAGATCCTCATCAGTACCAGCATCATCAGCATCAGCGCCATCATCATCATCATCATCATCATCATCATCATCATCATCAGCAGCAGCAGCAGCAGCGGCAGCAGCAGCAGCAGTATCGTCGTCGTCGTTAGCATCATCATCGGCATCATCATAATCATAATGATACTCATCATCATCCTGTATCTCTTTCTGCCTCATTGTCCCACCTACTCCTCGCCCTGCTCCTCCTGTGAGGCTGACCCATGCCAGGCGCAAGAGGGCCGCGTCCAGCAGCGTCTTCAACCGGCTCCCGGGCGGAGAGGGGATCCTCATAAGTGAGGGAGAAGGCGGAGGGGCGGAGGGAGAGGCGGATGAGGGGCATCGACGAAGAAAAGTCGCATGAGCATCGGCTTTTTCGGAGTGCCGCGCGGACTTCTTGGACCAGCGATGGCCCCCCTGGCGGCGCCCCTAACGCCAGCCCTGGCGCGCGCTCTGCGCGCCAGCGAGAGTGGCCCAGCGCCGATGCAAGGACTCCGCGCTGACCTCCGAAAGCACACATCTGACGGCGGACCGAGCCCAGGGGCCACGGAGCCGCGACCCCGACCACAAATGGCTCGGCATCGCTCGGACGTGTGCCTTTTTCCTTCGGCGAGGACCATCGAGGAGCATCCTTGATCATTTGGCGAAAAAAACCACGCACGAAACCGAAAAAAGCACACGGAATGGACGTCCGAGCGATGGCGAGATGGGGGTGCCGGGGGCCCAGCCGGCTCCTGGGAGGCCCCAGAGCGGCCCCCAGAGCGCCCCGACAGCCATCCAGGCGGCTCAAGACGGCCTCCAGGGGCCTCGGGCGGCTCGCGAGGCGTCTCGAACAGCCCCAGAGGCGTCCAAGGCGCTCAAAGAGGCCCCCCAAGAGGACAGAGAAGCAAAAACCGCCCTATTCCTGTTTTTTCAACGTGCAGTTTTATCACATACGGCCAAAGACGACCCAAGAGGTCTCCAACACCGTCCCAGGCCTGCCCAAGAGGCCCTCAACATAGTCCTTAGACGGCCCAAGAGGGCATTAAGACGTACCAAGAAACCCCGAAGGCGGCCAAAGGGGGCCCCAAGAGGGCCCCAAGATAGGCCCAAGAGGGGGAACCCGAGCTGCCATTTCGAGCCCTCCGCCCAAAGATGACCCTGGAGGTCGCCAACAGGTCCCAAGAGAGGCCCCTGGGAGACCCGAAAGAGTGCCCAACGAGGACCCCAAGAGACCCCAGGAGGCATCTGTGAAGTCCCTGGGAGACCCCCAAGGGGCCCCCACTGGGCTCCGAAAGACTTCCAGAGAGACCCCAGGATACGTCTACGAGGCCTTCCGTGGCCACTTTGGCTCAAGATGTCGCACCTCGACGGCTCGGTGCCACAGCGAACCTGCGGATGTCCTCCGTGGTGCCTGCCTGCGCTTCCGCCTTGGTCGCACCGTGCTGCGAACGGCGCGCGCGCCCTCTGGCCCCGACAGAGAGGCCGAAGGGCTCGCGGCCGCACGCGCCTGCGACAGCAAGCGTTGCCTCGGATCAAGCGAGTGGGCCGCCGCATGTGTTACAGTCAAAAACCCCAATAAGGACGCGCGACTTTGCTCAGGGCACCCTTGCTCTTCCTTGCTCTTCCTTGCTCTTGCGTCCTTGGGGTTTTTTCATCGCCCGCCGCCCCAGAAGTCCCAGCTTCGGCTCCCGAGGCTCTTGCGTCCTTACCGCGCGCCCTTATTAGGGCTTTTGATTGTATAATGATAGGGCGACGATATCTATACATATCCACTGCTCCTGGCCAGGCCCATCCTGGGCCCAGGAGCGGTGTATATGCCTCCCTGGCCAAGCCAGGAGGGCGTATACACAGGACTTGGGCCGCAGGATGGCCTGGCCCATGAGCAGTGGATTATGTATAATATCGTCGCCCTAAATGACGCATGCTCGGGCTGCCCGCAGGGCACGACTCTGGCACGAGTGGCGGCCGCTTGCACGTGCGGGCTCCCCGGGCAGCGGGCGAGCGCTGGAGCCTGGCCGCTGGGCGTCAGCGGGCCGCGCGGGTGATCGCTTACGGCGTGGCCTGCACTTGGCACGCCACGGGTGGAATCCGCTTGCAAGGCGCCCAGATCTCGGGCGACGAAATCTATCCATATCCACTGCTCCCTGGCCAGGCCCACTCTGAACCCAGGAGCTGTGTATACGCCCTCCTGGCCCAGCCAGGAGGGTGTGGCGTATACACTGCTGCGGGGTTGAGGATGGGCCTGGCCAGGGAGCAGTGGATATGTATAGATTTCGTCGCCCTACAGATCGAGTGCTACGGTCGGGGTCCTGAAGAAGGAACCCGTTTCGTTGGGGAGGGGCTCCGCGTTCCTTGAGTGTTTCGCAGCTTGCCTCAGGTTTTTCCTTAGATCTTCGAAGGGAAATCGAAGCTCAACTTCTGGAGAAAAGGGGCCTCGTTCCTTATTCTGGGTTCCTTAGGTCGGCGCCCCGACTGTAGCTCCTGGTTCGCGCCTGCACGCCATCTGCGACGAAAAGCCTGGTGAGCATGGGGAGGCGAATTTGGCGAGAGAGAGGCCGCCACCGTCACCGAGACCACGATGTCCCCGTTCAGCACTCATCAGCCCTGTTCCTTGCTGCCTCCAGACTAGAGCTGTGCATCCTACCAGCTTGATGACGTGCTTTCCGAGGATGCATGTTTCCGAGATGCTGTGCAGCAGAATCGAGTTGGCTTGGGCGACAAGGAGCGAATTGGATCTGGCACCTGGGCAGGCATGAGGCTTTGCTGCTGCATGTATAACATCGACTCGGATGTGGTCATGTTCAACGATCAGTCATCAAACCCTAGTTTCACTTCAACGCAGCAACAATGCATTGGCCTCGGCGTGGCAACCACAACCACAGCCACAAGCGAGGCCAGCAGCACCACAACCAGCATCAGCATCAGCGAGACCAGCAGCACCGTAACCAGCAGGACCCTGACCGGCACCAGCACGACCAGCATCAGCGAGACCAGGACCACCGCAACTATTGTTTCCAACACGTATCAGCCATCAGCTTGTCAAGAGCTCCAGCGATCATCACTGCAGTTAACTTCCTGCACTGGATGCTCGCTCACGGCTCCGAACCATTTTGTTGGGCCCTTCGAGCACGGGCACGGCCGCCAGCGAGCATCACTGCGGTTAACTTCCAGCACTATATGCTCGCACACGGTGCCGAACCTTGTTTTGTGGCTGCTTCGAGTACGGGCAAGGCCGCCAGCGAGCATCACCGCGGTGAATTATCAGCTCTAGATGCCCGCACACGTCGCCGAAGCATTTTTGTTGTTTGCATCCTTCCATCCCTTCCTCAACCATTCTCTCCTTCCCTCCGCCATCTTCCCCCCATTTCGCATCCTTTCTTCTTTGCCTAGCTTCCGGATCACGAGGCTCGTAGGGTTGGTACTGGCGCTCTTTGGCGTGCGTGATACCCCGCAGACGCGCCCGTCAGACGGCCCCAAGATTCCCAAGATCCAACCCCAGGACTCGACGATCTCCCCCATAGACCAATCACAGGCTCCCAACTAGCACCCACCCAGCCCTCAAGATGTTCCAAGTAGCGCCCGAGGAGGGCTAAAAGAGGGTCCCAAGCCGGCCCAGGACAACCGCAAGATAGCCGCTCTTGGAGCCCAAGACGAGCCAAGATGGTCCAAGACGGCCCAAGAGCGTCCAGAGATGTTCCAAGAAGGTTCGAAGATGGCCTAGGGAAGCCCAGGAGGGCCCAAGGTGGCCCCAAGAGGCTGCAAGACAGTCCCAAGAGGACCCCACAGCGGCCAGCACCCGCTGACCCGATCGCCTGTGACCGACTAGAACCACGCGCGCGTCCAAACAAGTGGAAGGATGAGAGACGAGCCTCTGCCCGCCAGCTCCACCACAAGGGGCAGTGTCCTCCTTGCTGCGTGCGCCTCCGCCCCGGGCCACAGCCACAAGAGCGGCGACGGAGGCGGAAGGAGGAGGAGAAGGAAGAGGAGATCGAGGAGGAGGGGGGAGATTATTTCCACCGTCCCCCTCATACTCCTGCCTTTTGCTCCTCTTCCTCATCATCGTCATCCTCCCGCTCTCCGGTTTCGGGCGTCCAGCAACATGCACGACCAGCTTCAGGACGATGCGCTCCTGAACTCGAAGAGGAAGCACACTCAGAGGCTCCTGAAGTGGAAGCTCCGCGGCAAGGAAAAGGCCTGTTCCTCGTTATCCTTCTGCGCCTTCTCCTCCTCCTCCTCCTCCTCCTCCTCCTCCTCCTCCTCCTCCTCCTCCTCCTCCCTGCTCTTCCTGCTCGTCGTCGTCGTTCTTCTCCTCCTCCTCCTCCTCCTCCTTCTCCTCTTCCTCTTCCTTCCTCCTCCTCCTCTTCCTCCTCGTCCTCCTCCTCCTCCTGTTCCTCCTCCTCCTCCCCCTCTTCCTCCTCCTCACCAGCCTCCTCACCATCCTCCTCAGCCGTTCTGACTCGGGCCACTCGGCCTGCGCTTGCAGCAGCATGCCTTCAGGACGGCCGAGTGCTGCTGCGAGTCTTTCCTGCCCCCACGGGAGCGCAGTGGCGATGACTCTTTCACGTGGCTGGCGTACAGCCGCCATCCTGCTGTGCCTGGCATTCTCGGTGGGATGGCGAACAAAGCAGGCGGAGGGAACGCGGCCTCTTGGCAGCTCGAAGAAGGCGCAGAGGCGAGCCCTCCTGGCTGCGGCATGGTGCTTCAGAAAGTGCAAGTGTCCGACCTCAGGTCTGGCGCGGTGGAATCACGGGGGTGCTACCAAGTGCTCCAAATGGCGAAAGGAGTTGCTTTTCTCTGCCCCCGCCCTGTCCCAGGGCCTCCGAGCAAGGCGGGGGCTGGCGGCAGCTCGGCCATTCGCAAGTTCACCGACACGCCTTGGCAGCAGCTGCAGCGACCGGCCATTGCCAAGCTCGAAATGGAGTTGGCCGAGGCCACGGCACGGCTGGCCAAGGCAGAGGTCAAAGATGGCGACGCCATGAACACCGATTTACAGGCCTCCGAGGCCGACGACAGCCTCTCTCGCATCAAGGACTCGAAAGAGACCGCCTTCCTGGCTCTGCGTACGTCTCTTGACGATGAGCGCACCAAGCTGCGCGCGGAGGTGGTAGCCGCTCGCCCCTTGGGCACGCGACTCCGCGACCGGGCGCAGCGCTCGCTCAGGCTTGAGAAGAAGCGTAGGACGCAGGACGAGGCGATGGCGCAGATCGCGCAGCAGATGGAGGTTCTGCAGGCCAAGCAACTGGACCAGCAGAAGATCATCCAAGAGACGGAGGCTGAGCTGCAGGAGATTCCGGCTGAGCAAAGCCGTCTGGCCCCCCTCGCCCCCCAGGCGCCCGAGAGCGTGGAGCCCTCCTCTTCTGCGTCGGGCCTGGGAGTCACGGTCGAGAAGCTTGGCTCCAGGAGCTCGGCGACGACGGCACCATCAAGAGCCAGTTGGACGCGGCGATCCAGGGCCTGCGCGCCCTCGACGCGGCCAAGAAGGAGCGTGACGGACAGCGACGCGTCGACGCTGTGGATGTACCTGTTCCTCCTAATGATGGACATGCTGGTGCTGGCAACCCTGCAGGAGTTGCTGGCCATGCAGCTGCGGCGGCTTCGCAGGAGGTCCCCATCGGCGCCAGGATCCAGGGGGGCGACTTCATAAGCCTGCACGCAGTTCATTATTGGCATGGGGGGCCACGCCCGCCACCGACGACACTGAGGTGCGCGCGCAGTACAAACGCCAACGTGAGCTAGCTCACGTTGGCCAACTTGGCAGGGGAAGCGCAGAAACGCAACCGCACGGGGTTAGATGGCGGCCCGATGGGCGCCGTTCCTGCGCGCGGGGGCCTGCATTCATGGAGGCCATGCAGCTCCTGCGCAGGTGCGCCGCGGAGTTGCTGGCCAAGTGCGCAGCGCGCAGCGGCCTCATCTTCGCATGCTCGAAGGGCCCCGCCTAATGGACGAGGGGCCCCGCCGTCTCCTGTGACCAGGACTGGCGGTCCATATCCGAGCCAGACATGCTGCGTGGACATGTTGTTGCAGGTTGATCTGGCCAATGGAACGGACGCGAATCCCCTTGGGCCAGATGTCGCGCGCGAGCCACTCCACGCCAAGCCGGGGGCGCAGAGCGTTGGCCGCGTCAACGCTCGGCCAGGCGCGGAGGACGACTGCGCTACCGTCAGAGGCCAGGTCGTCGCGGCGAACGTCTCGGACGGCAAGCAGCTGGTTAATTTCTTGCAGAGGTGCGCCGGGACCGCAGTTGCAGCACAGGAGCACAGGGCGGACGACATTCATCTTCCCAGCCTACATCGGCGCGCTGCGGACACAGGCTGGCAGGGCGTCTGGGCGGCGGCCGATGTAACTGGCAACGGTGGCGATACTGGTGGACTTGCAGACTGATCTCGTAGGGAAGCTATGATTACAGCGCCTCCTTGCCAGGCTGATCCTGTCTCGGCACCTGGCAGGGCTATGGCGGCGCGCAATCGTTGCTGCCTTCCAGGAGGCCTAATCACTATCACGGCATATCTGGTGGTCGGCGACCGTCTGTCTTCTCGCCATGTGCGCATTCTGCGCGAGGTGGCAGCCTGCGCCGCTTAGATTGCGGCCCGAGGGCTTGCTTGGCTTATCTGCGGAGATTTCAACACGCAGCACGAAGAACTGGGCGATTTGTCTTGTTTTTTTTTCCCCGGGCGGAGCGGTGGCCCGCGCTCGGGGCACTACGCGTAGGCAGTCTACCCCTGGCAATCGCATCGACTTGTTCATGGTCTCTGTGCTGCTGATGACCAGAACCAACCAGCCCGTTGTCATTGATGGCGCGGGCACCCTTCCACATGCACCCGTGTCTCTGGAAGCGCTTGGTCAGGGGCGTCAATATGGGTGAGGCAGCTTGCTGAATCGCAGTCGGTGCCGATGGGCCTCGCGATTGGCCAGCCAGCCGCCTCATGGGCAGGCGCAGCTCAAGCGGTCGAAGCCGGAGTTTCCGATCCCCCATCGCCTTCCAGCACACTCCGATGCAGGGCGCGGCTGGGCGGCGGCTGCCCGTCGGGCCAGGCGCGTTCGCAGGGCGGGGGTGGCTTCACTTGGCGATTAAGGAGCTGGCTCGACATTTCTGGGGCTTTGAACGCTGGCTACCTCGCGTCAACTCCGCCTGGGGTTTGGCAGTTCTTGGCGACTGGGTTTGGCGCGTCATCCGACGCGCGCGCGGAGGAGAGCGTTGATTCGATCCTTGGCAGAGCCGAGGAGGTACATGATGTTTTGCCAAATGTTCTCTGGAACTGCGGGAGAGATGGGCCAAGGCCAAGGCTGCCTGGGAGTTTGTTCGGGGCAATTCGTCCAATGATCACGCGCAGCCGCGCGTCCTGGCCGATGAGATGACGCGGCTCTGGGATAGCATTCGGGGCTGGGACGACACTCGCTGCAGCTACCTGGAGATGCGTGCACGCGGGAGGCTCTCCTTCCCATTTCAGCCGACATCGTCAGGCAGACTGTGCTTTCCTTCCCTTGGCGGACTGGAGTTGGTCAGTTTCAGTTCCCGCCGCGCAGTTTGTGGTCCTTCAGCGACGTCGGGCCGTTTGTCTCGGGAAGACTGACATGCAGGCGCGAAGAGCTACTCCAGTGGCCGCGCGAACGGATTGTTCCTCAGATGGTTCGTCTGCCCAAGGAGTTCGGCGGCAGTCGTCTGATTATTAATCGCTTCGCTCATTCCGCCGGCCCATACGGTCTCATGTCTGCCGTTTGCCCGAGGGCCTGGTGTCAATGCGGCGCTTTGGGGGTTCCTGGGGCCGCTTGGGGGACTCCTGGGGCGCTCGGGGGGGCATTTGGGGGGCCTCCTGGGGCCGCTTGGGGGACTCTTGGGGGCCTCCTGAGGGCCTCGTGGGGGCATTTTGGGGCATCTTAGGGGCCTCTTGGGGCCTCGTAGGGGCTTCTTAGGGCCGAGGGCTCGAAATTTTGTTTCGTGTTCCCTCTCTGGGGCCCCTCTGGGGGTGTTCTTGGGGCCCTCTTGGACCTTCTTGGAGGCTTCTTGGGCCGTCTTCGAGCCCTCTTGGGCCATCTTGGGGCCCTCTTGGGGGCCTCTTGGGCCCTCTTGGGGCGATCTTGGGGGCCTCTGGGGCCGTCTTGGGGCGCCGGGAACCGAAAAGGTGGCGGCAGTCGTCTGATTATTTTGAGTCATGCACTTTTTCGCAGATGGTGACGCACCAGAAGGCCCTTGGCAGCATCGTGGCAGGATGCGAACAAGTCCGAGCCTTTCGGGGCACGGGTGCTCGACGGTCCTCGAGCGACTGCGCCTTCAGCCTGAACGTGGAGGCGGAGATCGGCCACGAGCACGGCGAGGACGCCCTCCGTGCCTTTGGACACGATGAGGTGCTACGAAACGGTCAAGCTCGGCATACTGCTGGAGGAGGCGGGAGAGGTCCGCTTTCCGATGCGCCTGTGCTGGATGGCGATACAGTCTTACGTGCAGCCCCAGGCCATCAAGGCCCACGGAGGGCTCAGCTACGAGGTGGTCTCGCTGCAGGGCATCTTGGCCGGCTGCTCGAAGGCCACCGCGCTGCTGATGGTGCTGCTGCACCGCAGTCTGAAGTGAGTGGTCGATGCTTTTCCTAATCACATAAGCATCGGCTCGATTCGGTTCCGTCCGGTTCTGCAGCCGGTTCGGTTTTGCTTCGCCAGTTCGGTTTGTCGGTTCGGTTTCGGCCGGTTCGGCTTGGGTCGAGGCGTTAGGAGTAGGAGCGAGGAGCAAGGAGCTTGGCTTTCGGTGGCGCTCTGTGGTTTTCCACGAGAGGTCCAGACTGGGGGGGTCCGGACCAGGGGAGGTCCGGACCGGAAGGGGCCAGAGGTCCGGACTGGCAGGGAGGGTCCGGATCGGGGGTGTCCGACCGGGGGGGGTCCAGACCAGGCAGGGGTCCGGACCGGGACCAGACCCAGGGGGGGTCAGGAGGTTCGGACCACAGGTTGGGTCCATACAGGGGGGGGGTCCGGACCGGGGGGGGCTGATCATCAAGGAGGGTCCGGACCAGGCGGGTCCGGACCGGGCGGGGTACTGCGGCGCGGACCGGAGGCGGGAGGGGTCCGGACTGGATGGGGTCCGGATAGGTCCGGACCGGGAGACGTCCAGACCGGGGAGGGTTGTACAGGGAGGGGTCCGGACCAGACAGGGGGGGTCCGGACTGAAGATTCGGACCGCTGGGGGAGGGGTCCGGACTGGGGAGGGGTCCGGACGGGGGTCCGGACCCAGGGGTGGTCCGCACCGGGGGAGGACCGGGGGGGGTCTGGACCGCGGGGGGGGTCCGGACCGGGGGGGTCCGGACCGCGGGGGGGGTCGGCCCCCGTGGGGCATCGTGGAGCCGTCTTGGGTCCAACGACGAGGTTCTGGGTCCTGAGGGTCCTGGGGGTTCTTGGGTGGTTGGGGCACGCGGGGTCGTCGTCTTGCGGTGTTGTGCGGGGTGGGTTGGGACGTCTGGTTCGGTTCTCGTCGGTTCGGTTCGGGGGCCGCCCCGTTCAGGTTCGGTTCTGGTTCTGGTTCTGGTTCGGTTCGGTTCCCCCCGGCTCGGTTTTGAATGAATTCGATTCGGTCCGGTTCGGTTTTTGATTTTCCTTGTTTGGGGCCGGTTCGGTCTGGTCACGGTTATCGGTTATCGGTTCGGTTTGGTCTTTTCATGCCTAATGTTCGCCCCCGTGCGCCAGTCGATGATATCAGTTTTCAGTGGGCGGGTGAGCGGGGGAGGGACCGGGGGGTGGGCGAGAGGGATAATGTCTCCGAGCTGTATGCAGCGTTGCGTGTTTTCGTCACTGACGCGAAGCCCTGAAGGCTACTCGTCCAGTTTCCCAGGAGCGGGCATGTGGCTAATTAGCACGACTCCTGCCAGGAAACGTTTTGTTCGTGTTGCTCGCATTTTGAGGCTCGCCCCCAAGAAGGCCATGCGGAACCTCGGGCACGAAATGTATGGTCCTAGGGTCCAGCGGGTTCAAGAAGTCGCCACGGTCTGCAAATTCTGTATGCGCAGGACCAAGATCACGACGCTCCGCCTTGCGGTGGGGCGTAAGGTGGCTGGCCTTTGGCGCGCATGGTCTGATGCCTCCGGTAGGACCTGGCGCAGGCGTGTCAGGGCTTTCCGGTACGGCGCCCCGCGCCCTTCGCACCTTGGCGGGGGGGTGGTCGCGGCGAAGTCGATGCGCTGCCGGAAACTGCACCTCGCCACCCAACGCAGTTTTAAGGTTGATCCCCTTTTTGATGCTACGATCACCCTGGCGCGCAGATATGCCGCATGGATTTAGGATCAGCGCGTCAGCCCAAGCTGCCTTCGTCGCGCTTGGGAGCAGGTCCGCGCCAGGTTCTCTCACCTCACCGTGCGACTTGGACTGGAGCTTGAGGCCCCATCTTATCTACCTTCCTCACCCCGCTCAGGATCGGGTGGTCTATGCTGTCGTATAGCGTGCCGGTGGATGATGTTGGCAGGCATGTGGATCTGCTGCGCTCCTGCCTGGCCGACCCCAAGCGTTTCCTTGAAGAGGGCCTGCAGCAGTGGCAGGCGCAGCGTATTTTGGCAGATTTCCCAGACGGCGTTGGCGAATAGTTCTTGTTGGCTGCAGGCCATGCGTGCCTCGGTCCTGGCAATTTGCAGCCCCGCCCGCAGCGGTGCACTTCGCGCGCTCTGGGCGGCAGCCTGCTGGACTCCCCAGCGGCTGCAATCCATTCAAAAGAGAGTTTCGGACAAATGCTTGGTTTGCCAGAATGCTGTGGGCACGCGCGCACATTAGCGGTTCGATTGCCCTGGGATGCTTCCGGATAGCACGGAGCACGAGGGCGGATTTGTGCCCGACGATGTTCTAGAGCACAGGCCGGAGCTCCGCGAGAGATATGCCAATGTCAACGGCGCTGTAGGTGTGGAATGTTTCTTTTTGTCCTACGGGCTGCCGCTCTTGCCGCCCTTCCCCCTGATGTCGAGCCGATCCCGGAGGTGTTCGGGCGAGGGGACTGGCGTGGAGCGTGGGGGCGGTGCGTCTACACTGATGGATTTGGCTTGGCGCCAGGGGTTTGAGGGCTGACCCGATGTAGCTGGGCGATTGTCGAGCTCCCCTCGGAAGGCAACATCCTCCGTGCCATGTACGGGCCACTCCCAGGCAGGATCCAAACCGTTCCTAGGGCGTAGTTAGTATTTCGCCATACCCACAGGAATCGAGGTTGCTAGCAGGCCAGCGCATGCGATTAGTGACAATCTCTCCCTTGTCAAGGCTGGCAGTCGTCAGTGCTTGCACAACGAGAGGCCCGCTTCGACGCATGCCAACATTTGGAGACGTGCCCTTGCCCTGCATAATGATTACGAGCGGCCCCCCACCTTTGAATGGGTCCCGCCCCACAGAAAGGCGACGGATGCCCTCGCGGACCCGTCGGCCTGTTTCCCGAAGCTCGCTGGGACTAGTGGGGCGGATCTGTGTGCTAAGTGGGCGGCCCGTCGCCGCCAGGTGGCCGAGGTTTTGGCCGATCTCCAGAAGCGCAGGCTGCGGGATGCCAAAGCCTCTGCGAAGGTCTTTGCCTGGCTGGCCCGGGCGGCGGCCCAGAAGGCTGCCCAAGTTTTGCCCTCGGCCCCTGCAACCGCGCAGCGCCCCATGTGACCACGAGTGCGCCCGGCTCGCGCACAGTCACCGCTCGTGTGTTTCGTGGTGCGCCCGCAGGCGGGCGAGCGAGCACGGGCGCGCCGGGTGCAGCCACTTCGCCCGCGCTCGCTCTCCCGCGAGGGCCCTCCTGCCCACGGAGCGCGCTCCCACGGACATCGAGCAGGGCGCGGCTGCTCGGCATGTCCGCCTGTCCCCCGAGCCTTTCGAGCCGCTCCGCGCGACGCCGGGCCTCGAGGAAGCCCTGGCGGACGAGGGCTTCGACCCCGCCCATCCCCCTCCTTCGTTGCGCGACGGCGCGGCGGCCGTGGAGCGTGAACTAGAAGCTTTCCGTGCTCGCGGTCACGAGGCTGAGCGCCATGGGAAGGTTCTGATTTGTCTCGAACGTGGTGCGTTCGTTGTCGGCCAAGGCCGCAACCCGAAGCCGACTCGGGCCTGCGGCGGCCGTCCCAGAGCGCCGTCGACCAGAGCCAACGAGGAGGCCCAGGTTTCCAGGGCCCCAGAGGCCTCCACCCTCGAACGAGGGAGCCTCTCCTCCTCCCCCTCTGGGGGCGCCTGATGACCGCGCCCCGAGGCCGCCGCCGTCGTCGTCACCTTCGCAGGGCGCGGGCGCGGAGGTCTCCTCCTGCCCCTCCCTTGCCCCGCCCCCGGAGGGGGGGCCAGGCGTCGGGAAGAGCAGGAGGGCGGAGCGGCGGCGGGTGGTCGGCCGGCGACGGTGGCGCCGTCAGCGGCCCCCCCCCCGCCGCCCGCGCTGCGCCCGCCTCCCGGGCGCGCTGCGGAGCCCCGCGGGCGGGGCCGTGCAGGCCCCCGCCCGCGCGGCCCGTAATTAACTTTGGGGCCTTTTCGCCCCCTCTCTCCAGAGTGGCTCCCGTGATTCGGCCGCCCCTCCTGTGGCCCCGCAGCCTCACACTCCTCCTCGACATGCTCACCCCTGCTCGTCGTCCTCCTCCTGCTTGTCTCCCTGCTCCCTGCTCGTCCTCCTCCTCCTCCTTCCCGTGGACAGCCGATCTGGGAGTTCTACGAGATGGTGTCGACGCTGGGGTCCGGCGCCTTCGGCACTGTGCAGAAGTGGCGCCTGAAGCAGGCGCGGGCGGCCCGAAGCACCCCCGAGGAGGGGGAGGGAGGGAGGGATTTTGGATTGCACGCGCGTTGAACCTGGCGGCTGTCGCGTAGGAGTGGCGCTGCGGCTAGCAGAGGCAGTTGGCACAGACAGCTCATGTGTCTATACTAAAAGTCGAGACTCGAAAACTCTGAACAGTAAAACAGTTCGGGACGGAGGGAGGGAGGAGGGGGTTCTCTGGGCCAAATCTGGCCCTGTCCAGAGCGAGGACAAGAGAAGATATGATATGATGATGTCTGAAGGGCTGCGCCCTCTACCGCCGGCCCCACGGCTGAGCCTTCTGGTGGCTATGCTGTTTGTTGGAACGGCTTGGGGGCCAGCATTGGGCCTGCCCGGGGCATGCTGCAGCATCTGGGGTCATTGCTGGGTTATCTTGGGGGCAACATCGGGGATACGTTGACGCCTACGTATGGGGCCCAGCTTGACGTATGGGGCCCATCTTGAGGGCGTCTTGGCCATCTGAAGGCTTTCTTGGGCCACCTTGGGAGAGTTGGGGGCATCTTGGGGCCGTTGGGGGCCACCTTCGGACAGTCCTGGATAGCATCGGAGACTCTGGGGGCCGTCTTGAAGCGAGCGTTGGGCATCTTGGGAGCAAAACAAGAGACAGGCAAAGAACATTGAAGACACAGTTGCTTTCCGATGATTTTCGCCCTCTCGGAGGCGCTTTGGGGCCCTCCTCGGGCCATTTTAAACATTGGGGTGATCTTCGGCCGACTGGCCTCCAGAACCCCTCTTCGGAGCCTCTTGGGGCCGACTTCGAGGCCTATTGGGCTCTGCTAGCCGTGCGGTGGCGTCCAATGGGGGCAATTCAGAGCGGCAGCAATTTGAGGCCCCCCCCCTCCCCAGATGTTTTCGTTAGCGTCTTGGGCCCCCCATTGGACAGCGGAATGGAAACAGGACTGGAGAGACAGGAGACAGCAAGCAAAAGGCACCACAAAGAACACAAGACAGCAGTCGAGCAGAAAAGTTCACAGTCTGGCGACTCCAAGGTGCCTGGCGGATTCGCGCTGAAGTAGTGCAGCTTGCACGCGCGCAGGCTGAACAAAATGGGTTGCCAGACTACTGGCCTTTGCTCTGCGGGCATTCGTGACGGGGACAGACGGGGGATGTGTTGCGTAATGCGAAACGAATGCGCACACACACACACACACAATTGGTCGAGCATGGTCTGAGCTGCTCCAGGTGGCACACGACGATGACCCTCACGTCGCTGTGAAGCACATCAGGTGGAGCGACATCTCCGGCGGCATCTTCCGGAGCCGAGAGGCCGAGAAGGTTGTGCGGAACGAGCTGAAGATGTTGCTCGTGCTCGACCACCCGTTCATTGTCAAGTTCCGCGAGTGGTTCTCCCGAAGGGAAAGAACGAGGCACCCACTCGTCCCCCCCGGGGCCGCCGACGCCCTCCAGGGGGCAAGCGCGGCAGGTGCCAGGGAGGATGCCAGCGCGTGGCCCCTCAGAGCAGCAGGTCTTGGCACTCACCACGTGCAGGCAGTGCGGTGCAATCCTCAGGGGCATCAGCCCTGGGGCGCCAGCGGGTACCAACCACAGGACACCATGGGCGCCAACCATAGGGCACCACGGGGCGCCAACCATGGAGCGTCACAGGGAATCGGCGACCACGGGCGCCAGGGCGCCAGAGGGCACCAGCGCATAGGGCACCAGCGCGCCAGGTACGACAAACAGGGAATCATGGGACAGCGCGCCAACGACCGATTGCGAGAAGCAAGGATCCATGTGGCACCAGATTCTTTCGAGAGCACCAACGCAGAGGGCACGAGCGCGCCAACGGCCAACTGCGACAAACGGCCGCCAGATCCCCAGAAAGCAGGCAGATCATAGGTACTAGCGCTGCTCGGGGAGCATACACTGGGAGCTCTCTCTCTCTCTTTGTCTGTCTCTCTTTCTTTTTGTTCGCTCTCTCTCTCTCTCTGTCCTCCCTCCCCGTTCGCCGCTCTTCTTGCTTGAATTGCGCCCCGACGCACAAGGCCGAGGGGCTCTGTAGCCTCTTCACGTTCGACCGCGTGCAGCGCGCGCCAATGCCAATGCATCCTGGAATAATATGTGCCGTCTCCTTTGATTGGTAGGCGAGCCTACCGGATCAAGCAAATTCGATCCTCGGCACGGTCGCCTTCTGCGGGTTCGAACTTGTTGATTGTCCTTGTGCGGTTTTTTCGGCGTCGTCAGGCGCTTCCAATTAGTACAATGCTGGTGCAGGGCGACGTCCTGCCAGCTGTGGCGCAGCCTGATGACGGCGAGGACGCGGATATGGAGGCGCGGTGAACACCAGGGCGAGACCCGTGGGCAAGGGTACAGGGCACGGGGACGTGGGACGTCCGCCGCGGCCTTGGAGCGCGGCGCGCAGGAGATAGCTCCCATTGCCGGAACGGGGCCTGGAGCCGCGACGAGCAGCCATGCAAGCCTTGCTGCCAGCGGCTAACGAAAGCTCCCTCTGCAGCGCGGAGGACTCCTGGGGCAATGGGGGCGGCGCCTCCTGGAGCGGCCAGTGGCACAGAGGTGCCCAGCCCGCCGCAGAAGGCGCAGCCTTCCTTCGAGGTGCAAGGGAGGGATACCACGGCTAGGCTGCGTCTGAGAGGCACCCACACTCCACCGCGCTGCCTGGAGCTCGCGCGGCTTGGGCCATGCGCGGGGCTGGCGAGACTTCGCGCGAGCCGCGGAGCCCGCAGGGGACTTTGCAGCCGCAGCGGCGCCCCTGCAGGGTCTGATACCTCGGGCCCAGGGCTGGGGCTCCGACCAGGGCAAGGGCAAGAGTCGAGGCACGGACCTGCGGAAGGTCGCGCCGCAGGCAGTGGCCAGAGGCTTGGCGTTCTGTCAAGTGCCCTTCAGAAGGACACGCGTTTCGGGGTGAACGGTGCCCGCGGTGCCACGCGCATGGTCGCTCGAGGGAGAGAGCCGACGGGACGACGAGTTGTGACCCGAATCCGACGCCTGCCTTGGGCCCAAACCATCTAGTCTTGGCGTGGGTCGCGGCGGGCGGTAAGGAACAAGAGCGGACCGATTATTGCCCCATCCCCCGCTGCTGCTTCTGCCTGAACAGCGCCCCGGGTCGTGCACCTGCGAAAGGGCGCTGTTGACGCTTCGCGCGCGATCTGCGCGCGGCGATCCCGGTCCAGCATGGAAAAAGACCGACGGTCCTCGTTACAGTCCAGCATATGATTCAGAAACCTCTTCCCAAAAAGCCGGGTTTGTCTCCAGAAATTTCTGGGCAGCTGGTCCATGCTTCTTAATGGTAGTTCTCTTGATCATATGTTCGGCTGTAGTGCACGAGTGACGAGTGGACGAATGTATCCCCCGATGTCGTCGGCTGCCCCAGGGGAGCGAGGGCTGCGTTTCGGAGCCTCTGCTCCCCTGGGGGGGGCAGGTTCGAGCACCCCTGCCTGGGGATCTTCTTCGTCATGGAGCTCTGCACGGGCAGGCCGCTGCAGGGGATCCTCGAGGACGTGTGCAACGGCGAGTCCCTGCAGGAGCGCCTCACGCACACCGCCCGGCTCCGGCGCTACTTCCGCGAGACAGTGTAACCCCGATCAAGTCACAGGGGGCGGCGTTTGGGAGTCCATTCTTCTCTACATCCACCTCGTCCTCCTTCCTATCCTCCTCCTCGCCCTTCCCTCCTCTTCTCGCAGCTTGTCCTCCCCCTGGGGGTGAGGAGGCTGCGCGACTGTGTTCCAGGTACGCCGTGAGCTACATCCACAGCTTCAAGCCGCCGGTCGTGCACCGGGATCTGAAGCCGGAGAACGTGCTGCTGGCGGACGAGGCCGCCAGCAGTTGCGTCAAGATCATCGACTTCGGGCTCGCCGTCGGAAACGCCAACGATGGCGAGCACAGCCGCGGCATGTGGCGGCAGGCTTCCCGCCTTCTCCTCCTCCTCCTCCTCCTCAGGCTCCTCCTCCTCCTCATTCTCCAGCTCCTCCTTCTCCTCCTCCTCCTTCTCCTCCTCCTCCTCCTTCTCCTCCTCTTCCTCCAGTCCTTTTCCCGTCGCACCCCGAGGCAAGTTTTAGAGCGGGCTGGGCGTTTCGCCTGAGACTTCCTCACCACTTTCGACCCTGAAGCTTAAAATTGGCAATAGTTTCACAGATGGAGGGGGGTCGTTTTCAAAATGTGGCTCTCAACTTAGCGCCGCGCACATTCGTTCTAAAAATGCAAGAGCTTCACGAATTGAGGGCGGGTGATTTTCAAAATGTGGCTCTCGCTTTAGCGCCGCGCACATTCGCTTTAAACATTTGCAAGAGTTACAGGTCGAGGGCGGGTGGTTTTCAAAACGGGGTTCTCGCCACAGTGCCTCGAACATTCGTTTTAAAAATTGTACGGGTTTCACGGATTGAAGGCGGGTCGTTTTCAAAATGTGGTTCTCGCCTCAGCGCCGCGCACATTCGTTAAACAATTGCAAGACTTGCACGGATTGAGGGCGGTTCTTTTTCGGAATGTGGTTCTCGATTTAGCGCCGTGCACATTTGCTTTTGGAATGTGCAAGAGCTTCACGGATCCCCGTGATCAACGTACCAGAAATGGCGTTTTGGAAGGAGTCTAGATTCTGAGGGTACAACAGTTGCGTTGATTCGCGGTGTTGATGTCCCAGGAATGGCGTTCTGGCACGAGTCAGGATCGTAAAGACGCAACAGTCAGGTTGATCCGTGGCGTTGGAATCCCGAGAAATGCTTTGCATGCTTCAGGGTTTTCAGTTGTCTTCCAACGAGGCAGTTCTCTCAGTGGGAATGAACCGTTGTAGGGGCCTATGAAGAGGGAGCTTGGAGGAAGGGTGTATTCCAACATCGTTGATGATTCTTGGGTTTACACTGTTACTCCTCCTCCTCCACCTCCGCCTCCTCCTTCTCCTCCTCATTCCTCACTCCTTCTGCTCCGCCTCCTCCTCCTCCTCCTCCTCCTCCTCCTCCTCCTCACTCCTCACTCCTCACTCCTCATTCCTCACTCCTCCTCCTCCTTCTCCTCCTCCTCCTCCTCCTCCTCCGCCTCCTCCTCCTCCTCCTCCTCCTCCTCCTCCTCCTCCTCCTCCTCCTCCTCCTCCTCCTCCTCCTCCTCCTCCTCCTCCTCCTCCTCCTCCTCCTCCTCCTCCTCTCCTCCTCCTCCTCCTCCTCCTCCTCCTCCTCCTCCTCCTCCTCCTCCTCCTCCTCCTCCCTCCTCCTCATCCTCGTAAATGGCCCCCCTGTCGCGCCTCAAGCGTGTCCGCAGGCCAGGCCAGGCCCGACGTCTCGCTCGAGACGCGTGTCCGGGGCTTTGTCGCCAGGCTAAGAGGCTGCCCAGCAGCGGCACGACGGAGGGCTGGCCGTTTTCGGACTGCGGCTCGCGCTTGAGCGCCGCGCACAATAGTCGCAAGCAGGCAGAATCGCTGCGAGGATGGAGGCTGGCACATCCTCGAGGTGCGGCTCCCGCTCGAGACGTCTGTGAGTTATACGGCCCGCAGAGGCAAATGGTGCAAAGTCTACCCGGATGGAGGGCGGATCCTTCTTCAGAACGGGGTTCCCCCTCGAGATTTTAGCCACAAGTATGGTCATAATTCAGAGTATGCGCAGCGCTTGCACGGATGGAGGCAGGTCATTTTCAAAGCGGGGCTATCGTTGGATCCCTCCTGAAGTTGTTTGATACCACCCTGTTGCGTTTCCTGTAGCTAGAAGGACGCCTGGGTGGCAGGCCCCCGGGCGTTTTTCCATTCAACCGGGGCGCTTCCCGCAGTTGAATTGAATGCATGAGAAGGGGATTCGGGATGAGAGGGTGTATTACAGAATCGTTGCTGCATCCTGGGTTTATTATGGTCCACCTTTCCCTCCCCCTCCCTCTCAGGGAACGCCAGCGTTCATGGCGCCCGAGACCTTCGTTTCCAGAGAGGGGCAGTTCACGCCAGAGATGGACGTCTGGGCGCTGGGGATCATTTTCGCCTGGACCGTTACGACCCTGCAACGGGGCAAACTGCTGCACCCGATGCTGCCGGAGGAGGGCGGCGAAGGCTACGAGGTTGGCCAGAGAGAACTCCTCTACGCGTATTTGGAAGAGAGGAAATGGAATCGGCAGCTGTTTGAAGGCCAGCCTTCGTCCGCCTTCGACCTGGCGGACAAGATCTTGGTGCACGCCAGCTCCGATCGCCCAAAGGCAGCGCTGATCCTCCGCGCGGAATGGGTTCGCTCGGGTGACCCCGCGGCCGCGGCATCCGCCCAGGTCTTGAGGAGCCAGGGGGCAACAAAATGTACACCGGCCCGATCCTCCCCACCTCTGGCCGTTCCCCCCCCCGTACATCGAGAGCGGCCAGAAGGTGGGTGATGACTACAGTCAGGTGAATACTGTTGGTAGTGATTTTTTGGCCGCGTGTCAACATACCCGAAGCGCGGGCGCTCGGTTTCGGGCTCACGTTCGTGCCCGAGCTTGCGCGCGCGCGCGTGCGCGTACTGCCCCGGTTTGAGAGCGAGGCGTGACTACGATGCTAGGACACCCACCCCTGGGCCCCGTACCCTCCACCCCCAACTTTGTTCATGCATTTACAGCAAGAAGCGGGGTGTGGCTCCAACGCCAAAAATTTACGAGTGAGGGTCGTTCTAGCAGAGCCGTCAAGAGGGGTGGGCTCCCGCACCCAACGTTTACGAGGGCAAGCAGTTCCCGCAGCCCGCGGCGTGGGCTCCAGCACACAGTTCTCGCTGGGGAAAGTGGTTCCAGCAGATTACACCGTCAAGAAGGGACCGTAAGGGGAACAAAAAGTGGAGCCCTTCCGTCTTCGGCCCCGCATTCGCCCCCCCCCCCCCCCTCCCCCCAATTTCAAAGTTGGGTTCGGCCTCTTGGAGGCCCTGGGGGTTCCACTTTTTTGTCCTCTCACGCCTGTGCTGCCAAATGCTTGAGGCCAACTTTGAAATTGGGGGGAGGGGGGGGGCGTGGTGTCAAGGGTTTCACTTTTTTGTCCATCTGCGGGAGGGCTTCCTCACCCAGTTTTTCAGAGGGACGCTGGCTCCAGCAGCCCACGACGTGAGCTCCAGCACCGAATTTTGACAAGGGCCAGTCGCTCCAGCAGATGATGCCGACAAGACGGGCGGGTCGTCGTCTGAAGGGACAGCCAGGGCGACCCGCGCCCCAGCCACGATCGCCAGCAGAATATTGTGAAGGCCTTACGGCCGGTGCCGCCGACCCAAAAGGACGACGACGACGACGACCACCACCACCAACACCACAACGGCCGCGACGACAACGACAACGACAAGCTGATGACCTTGCCACAAGCTCAGGACACGGGCCGGGCGGTGGAGGAAGGAGGAGAAGGAGGAGTGGAGAAGGCGGAGGCGGAGGCGGAGGCAGTGGAGAAGGCGGAGGCGAAGGCGGAGGGGGAGGGGGAGGGGCAGGGGGAGGGGAAAAGGGGGAAGAGGAGAAGAAGGAGGAGGAGGAGGAGTGAGGATGAGAAGGAGGAGGAGAAGGAGGAGGAAGAGGAGGAGTGGTAGGAGGAGGAGGAGAAGGAGGAGGAGGAGGAGGAGGAGAAAGAGGAAGCGGAAGAGGAAGAGGAAGAGGAAGAGGAAGAGGAAGAGGAGGAGGAGGAGCCAGAGGAGAAGGAGGAAGAGGAAGAGGAAGAGAAGGAGGAGGAGGAGGAGGAGGAGGAGGAAAAGGAGGAGGAGGAGGAGGAGAAAGAGGAGGAGGAGGAAGAGAAGGAGAAGGAGGACGAGAGCCGTGTGTAGGGAAAGTCGCTCCAGCAGAGTATGCCGACAAGACGCGTGGGTAAACGTCTGAAAGGGCAGTTCGGACGACCCGCGCCTCGGCCACGGACCCTCTCACAGCACGTCATCCCACAAGCAAAACATTCGCCCCAATCGTAGGAGGGGATGTCATTGCCGAGGCTATGAGATTTCCCTGTATCTCGTGGCCCCCTCGTCTCAATTCGATGCGTCCCTTGGCCGCTCCCCCCATGGGCCGCGCACGTGCGTCGAGCCATGATTTGCGACCCCTCCTCTTGGACGGCCCCGAATATGCCTTCCCCCTCCCTCCCCTCCCCCCGTCCTTCCTGCCGGGGGGGGTGGTATGGATCGGTGCATTGCCGTGGCTCCCCAGGAACGCGAATTTCAAGAAAAACCTCGAGACGTACGCAGAGTTGACGCCCCTCGAGAAGACGATCTTGCACGTAGTGGCCGAGAAGGCCTCCGACAGCGACGTGAAGACTCTCAGGCGCACCTTCCGGGCGATGGATACAAATGGAGACGGACGCTTGTGTCGGGCGGAGATCACGGAGGGGTTCCGGATCAACGACGTGGAGCTGCAGCCGCAGACTTTAGAGGCATTGTTTGCCGAGTTGGATGATGACAAGAGCGATGACATCACCTATCACGAGTGGCTCGCGGCCACGATGTGCCGGAGGGTGTTGCAAACGCCCACGGCGGTGGGTTCGGCCTTCAGTGCCTTGGACACCTCGGGGAACGGCGTGCTCACCCAGGAGGATTTGGAGGTTGCCATCGGCCAGGAAGAGGCGGAGGACCACGGGCAGCGCAGCAAGGAGGAGGAGGATCAGCAGCACGAGGAGAAGCAGGAAGGGGAGGGGGGAGAAGGGGGAGGTACGAGGAGGGGGAGACAGAAGAGGGGGAGGGGGACCACGGGCAACGTCGCCTGAAGATTAGTCGGGAGAGTGGGGCACAGCCACAGCTCAAATTCTAGACCTGTGGGAACTGTTCGGTGGGCACTGCTCCCAGGAGCCCTACCGATCGTTCGTGAGAAGCGACGGCCTTGATGCCGTAGACTGCGCGACAGCACGTCGCGATCGCATCGGTGATGATCGCTCCCTCCTCCTCCTCCTCCTCCTCCTCTCCTCCTCCTCCTCCTCCTCCTCCTCCTCCTCCTCCTGCTCCTTCTCCTCCTCCTCTGTCCTCCTCCTCCACCTCCTCCTCCTTCTCCTCCTCCTCCTCCTCCTCCTCCTCCTCCTCCTCTTCCTCATACTCCTGCTCCTCCTCTTTCTCCTCCTCCTCCTCCCCTCCTCCTCCTCATCCTACTCCTCCACGGCCGCTGCGACCCAGAGCCTCCGACGCCGTGGCTTTTCCACAGCGTGGGCCCCCAGGAGGTTCCGACCCCTCCCCGGGGACCCGCTCTTCGACCCGAGCCGTTCCTGGACGGCCCCGAGGCCTGGCGAGGCGCAGACCCCCAGGAGGTCCCGCCCCGTCCCCAGGGACCAGCTCTGCACACCCGACCGAGACCCCGTCAGGGCCCCGGGAGGCCGAGACTGGCCGAGAGCCTCCCGTCGCGATCTGGCCTCGGCGCGAGCAGGTCGGGGGCACGGCGCCATCCAGCAGGTCCCCGCCAGAGCGCCCTCCTCGCACCGCGCCATGGTCACCGACGACCAGGGGCGCCGGCCTGGCAGCACGCCCCCATGGCTTTCCGCGGGAGGCGCATCGGGAGCTCGGGGACTTCCGCCGAGCTCCGCTGCAGGGCGGCAGCCACGGCGGCGCCGGCGCCCCCGACACCGACGCCGCCGACGACGACGCCTGCCGGCGCGGAACGTCCAGAGGGTTCGCCCCCAGTTCACGGTCATGCCGACGGCAAGCGACTTCGCCTTGGGAGCACCGCGCTTGAACGCGCCTGGCATGGGAGTGCCCGAAGCTGCCCTCAGCAATGGTGGGCTTGATTGAGCATAGAATGCGGCCGACGATGGCTGCAGGCATAAGTGGCAGCCTCCAGGAGCGCTTGCAACCGCTCCATCTCAGCACTGCGGGCACGGGCAGGCGGCGGGCCGCCCAGGTGGTGGGACATCATGCGGCAGCCAGCCTTGGCAACCCGAGCCTGCCCGGCTTGCTGCGCAGCATGGTGCCAGAAGGGTCATGGCAGGGGCGGCGGTTGAGGACTACAGTCGGGGCCCAGAGGAAGGAACCCTTTTCGTTGGGGAGGGGGCTCGGTGTTCCTTAGTTGTTTTGTAGTTCGCCTTTGGTTTTGCTTAGGGTTTCGATGGGAAATCGAAGTTCAACTTATGGGAAAAAGGGGCCCCGTTCCTTATTTAGGGTTCCTTAGGTCAAGGCCCCGACTGTACGACGGTCCCCGCATTCGCGATCGCAAGGTCGCGGGCCCTCACGCACGCACGGCCCACGCGCGGGGTGCAGGCCTTTCTGCTCGGAGGAGCGGGCAGAGAGAGCCGACGGGCTCCCTCAGCGGCACGGGCTTTGCTCGGGAAGCCGCGGTGAGCAGCGCAGCGGCCCTGGTCATCGAGTGTTACGTCGGGCCTGTCCCCCTACGGGGGTATTTTCGACGAAAAATAAAAAGTACCCCAAGAATACCCCAAAAAGGTCAAAATATATTTTAAAAGATTGTCCCCTGACTATTTCTGGACTATTTTTATAATGTTCGTGGTATTTTTAATGTTTCGTCGAAAATCCCCCTGTAGGGGGACACCCCCGACATAAATCTAGTGCGTGACCAACCTCGCCTCGCAGCTCACCCCTCTCCAAGAGGAGCCTCGCCTTCCAAGGACACCGGGGCTCCTCGAGTTCGGTCGCTGGCGGGGCGAGACCACGGGTGCCCTTCTGAGCAGCTTCCCCTTCCCTGTTCTACCCAGCGAACCAGAACGATGCGATGCGGAGTCTTGAGAGGTCTACTCTTCATGGCTGATCGCGGGGAGCCAGAGCGTTCGGTGAAGCACCAGCGCTCGCCCAGCGCGCTCCCGGAGGGGGCCCGAGGAAAAGTCCAAGCGGTTGGCCGCGGAAATCTCCAGAGACGCCCAACACCAACCTGAGCAGCACCTGCTCGTAAAGCCAGACGCGTCGCACCGCCGGTTCTGGCCGACAACGGTTCGGTGCGACACGCTATCCACTACCCGGCCCCCCAGCGCCAACGTCCCGAGTCTTTCTTTGCGTCCCGCCTCCACCGCAGAGCGGAGCGACACGCTATCCGTTCGCAAGGCATCCAAAAGTACCCGATCGTAAAGAGCCGTCGGAGCCCAGGGGAGCACCAAGCGCGAGTGCCTTTTGCATTTTGACCAGTGGTTGCCCCCGCTGCTGGTGCTCGACGCGAGCTGAGCGGCTTCCTTCCTGCTCTGCCACTTTTCCTCTGCGCTCCCTCTCCTTCTGCCACCCCCGTCGGGCGTGCCCTGAATTGCAGTTCCCGCGCGGACAGCCCTTGACGCGCCACTGACAAGCAAGTTCTTGTCTGCCAGTTGGCGCTGCTGCGAGAGGCGCGCCATCCTGGGCCCTTCGATGGCATCTTCGTGTTTCCTCCATCCACTGGTACGTGCGGCACACAGCAAGTCAAGCGAGACGACCAACGCGGAGAAGTTTACACCGACATTTGTACTTGCGCCTGTCTTTTTCGCTCACCAGAGGTGGCGCCAAAGCCCCCTGCAGACCGCCGCAGGCTTTGCAAACTAACGGTGTCGGCCCACCTCTCATGAAGATACGGCGCTTGAGAGAGGCTGAGGATAGCAGCACATCGTGCGCAGTGGGTGCTGCCACCGCTCTCGCTCTCCTCGATTGTTTTACGGCCGCAAGGCGCTGGCACCATCGGCCAGGGATCGGCATCTGCCGGCCCGGGAAGCCTAGAGTGTGCCCAGCACCAGTGGGCACTTGTGGACTTGAAAAGGGGCCGCGCGCGTGTGGAATGCCCCCTTGCCCTTCGCCCCTGTCATTTGGCAAGATTCGGTTTCATCGCCACTTCCAAACCTCTCTCGAATTGGATCCCTCGCCCCGCCCGGCTCGGAGCTCAGGTGGGAAACGTCTTACGGTCGAGGAGCAGTTTGCCAGCTCGACAGGTGTTGTACTCCCCCTCCCCTCTCTCGTCCGTGCCCCCATTCTGCCTCCTGAAACTCCTCCTCCTCCTCCTCCCCCTCCTCCGTCCTCCTCCCCCTCCTCCTCCTTCTCCTCCTCCTCCTTCTCCTCCTCCTCCTCCTTCTCTTCCTCCTCCTTCCCCCACCCATCTCCTCCACCGTTCCTGCCTTCTCTGCGTTGGGCCACCTCGACTTGGTCGACCTCCCCCCGGACGGGTCCCCCCTCTCGACGTTGTCGTCGGCCAAGTTTAGTCTGACCCCAGAGTGGCCATGTGAAGGAAGTCTTGAAGACCATGTCCACGGCAGTCTTCGAGGGCAATCCAGCCTTGAGCTTCGAAGACTTCAAGAGCATCGTGGAGGAAATGGCAGGCAAGCGCCACGGTTTCATGAGGACGTGCAACAGCATGATTGGACCCACGGTATCTCACAGTCCGACGATGGAGCCAGCCCTTCCCCATAATAGGCGTGCAACTATTTGCTAATGTCAATCACACCGTTGGCAGGTGGATGTGTTTTTTTCTCCCGCGCGGTATAAGACATCCTTGTACATAGTCCACGCCATCGCCAAACGTCCACGCGGCGAGAGCAAGCAACCCCCCCCACCCTCGCAAGCCCCGCGAGGAAGTTGGAAAAAAGAGCCCAAACCATGGGGCGCTCTGCGACGTGTGCGCGAACGCCTCCCCCGCTTCCCCAACGAGAAGCGGCGGCAGGCGGCCGGGCCCTAAGTCAGCGCCACCACTCCGGCGGGGTCGGGAAATCGCCTCCTCGGACCCGCTCGCGACGCTCTTGGGGCCTTGACGGGCCCTTCTTGGGACCCTGTGCTGCGCGAACTCGGAGCAATCTTGAGGCATCGAAGCCCATCCAGAAGCGCAAAGGCGATGAGGCAAGTGTCATTCACAAATCGTAGGCGCTGGAAGGAAGTTGAACCCTTGAGGGCAGTGGGGGGCTATTTGGAGACGTCTTTGGACGGTCTTGGAGCCTCTTGGAGGCCTTCTAGAGGCAATATTGAACCATCTTCGATTATATTGTGTCATCGTGGATGCCATCTTGTGCTAACAGGGGCCATCTTGGAGCTATCATGGATGCTCTGACCGGTCGCAGGGGGCCAGTGAGTAGGGACTTTCCTTGATCGGGCGGTCAACCCGCAACCGCCCCTCGGACACAGCATTGATGTGTGTGGTCAGTGCAGTGGCCTCGGCAAGGCAAGACAAGTCGAGGCGCTTTCCAAGATAGCCACCAAGATGGCACGCGGTGGTCTTAGATGGCCTTAGTTTAACGTCTAAGAAGCCTCCCCATCGTCACACGGCTCAACGTTGCTGCGGAGCTTTCCAAGATGCCAAAATAACCCCAAGATGCCAAACACAATCAGAGGCACAGCGCTTGATTCCCCAAGCGGTGCTTGCACTTTGGTGTTCATCTTGTGTTCTAAGCTAACTGGGCCCCGGTGTCGATGCGCCCGTCTCATCGCCGCCCCTCGCCGCCGTCGCCGCTGAGCCCCAGTGGCGGTCCAGCCAGCTCGTCGCCGCCCGTCGCCGCACTGCTTTGCATCGCTTGGCACTGCAACGCACTGCTTGGCATCGCATTGGAATCCTTTGCGCTGCAGCGCATTGCTTCGCATCGCTTTGCGCCACAGAGGCGGCACCGCATGGATTACACCATCTAGGTTGCACCACATCGACTGCACCACCTAGATTGCAATGCATAGACTGCACGAAATCATGGTTGGAGATCCGCGCTGGCTAACGTGTAATGTCCTCAGTGCTACATTTCAGTTTCCGGTATGGCCCCAAGAGAAGGCCCAGAAGGCCCAAGACGGTCCCGGATGTCCCCATGGAGGCCCCAAGGGCGCCCCAAGAGAGCACCACAAGCTCGAATTCGCGAAAAGGCCGACAGGACCATTTGCACCTGCGCCACGCTGGTCGCAAGACGGCCCCAGGAGGGCTCGTCAGGCTTGAAGAAGCCCCAACAGAGGCCCACAAGAGCACCAACAGGTCCCAAACAATACCCGTAGCCATTTTGGCTCAAGGCTCTGGATCCCCACCAGCCGCGACCTGCCCCATCCTGACCTCGCTGCTACCCACCATGGCGAGCCAGGCGCAGGTCTCGAAGAAGCGCAAGTTCGTCGCCGATGGCGTCTTCTACGCGGAGCTGAACGAGTTCTTGATGCGCACGCTCGCCGAGAACGGCTACGCGGGGGTCGAGGTGCGCGTGACCCCCATCCGCACGGAAATCATCATCCGGGCCACGCGCACGCGCAAGGTGCTCGGCGAGAAGGGGTGCCGTATCCAAGAGCTGACGGCGGTCTTGTAGAAGCGCCACGGCTTCCCCGAGAACAGCGTCGAGCTGTTCGCGGAGAGGGTGGAGAACTGTGCCGCGTGCGCCACGGCGCAGGCGGAGTCGCTCTGTTACAAGCTGTTGGGCGGCCTCGCCTCTCGCCGCGCTTGCTGAGGCGTCGTGCGCTTCATCATGGAGAACGGCGCCAAGGGGTGCGAGGTTATCATCAGCGGGAAGTTGCGTGCGCAGCGTGCCAAGGCGATGAAGTTCAAGGATGGCTACCTCTCTCCAAAGGTGAGTCCAAGAAGCACTACATCGAAGAAACCTCTCGCCACGTGTCCATGAGGCAGGGCATGCTCGGAGTGAAGGTGAAGATCATGCTGGCGTAAGATCCCGAGGGAAAGATGGAGACCAAGATGCCCCAGACAACATCGTCATCCACGAGCCGAAGGGCGAGGCGCCAAGCTTCATGCACGAGCAGCAGCAGGGCGAGGGCTACGAGGGAGGCGGCGGATACTGGGAGCCCCTGGCCCCCCGCGGCGCCACGATAAGAAAGGGTGGGTCGGGAGGGGGGGGGGAGGCGGACGCGGTGGTGGAGAAGAGAAAGAAGGAGGAAGAGGTCCGAGGTGGGGGCGCGCAGACGGAGCAGAGCCCGCGGCCGCGGCGCGGTCCTGGACAAAAAAGGTCCCAGACAAAGCCCCGAGAGCGCCCCGAAACGCCCCACAAGAGGTTCCAAGGTATCCCAGGAGTTCTCCGCAAGCCGCACGCCGTGCGCCGCACCCAACCAGGAGATTGTCATCTATTGCCGCGTCGCTCACCACGGCGGGCCAAGGGCGACCACTGGGGCCAGAGTGCCAGCCACATCCAATCCACAGGCAATGGGGGAGAGTTTTGCGACTTGGGGCACGGGGGGGGGGGAGGGGTAGACCCCTCCCCGAAGGAAGGGAAGGGGATTGGAGAGGGAAGCGCCCTAAACTACCTAAGCCCAGAGGGCTGGTGAGAGGGGGGGGATTGGGGGGAAGGAGGAGGACGAGGACGAGGACGAGGACGAGGACGAGGACGAGGACGAGGACGAGGACGAGGACGAGGAGAAGAAGAATCAGAAGCAGAAGAAGAAGAAGGAGAAGGAGGTGGAGGTGGAGGTGGAAGAGGAGGACTACGACGAGAGAGGGAGGACGGACATGGGAGGAGGAAGAGGAGGAGGGAGTCAGGGAGGGAGGGAGAGAGAGGGGGGATGGAGAAGAGGAGAGAGAAGGAGGTGAAGCGACGAGGTGAAGCGAGGAGGGGGGAGGGGAGGAGGGAGGGAGGAGGAGGAGACGGACGAGAGGGAGGCGGAGCACGAGGGAAGAGGAGATGAGGGGAGGGAGAGGAGAGGAGGAGGGAGGAGGAGGAGGAGAGGAGGAGAGGGAGGAGGAGGAGGAGCAGGAGGGGGGGGGGATGAGGAGGAGGAGGAGAGGAGGAGGAGGAGGAGGAGGAGGAGGAGGAGGAGGAGGAGGAGGGGGGACCCTCTCGCTCTTCCGAAGGGCGTGTGAAGGACCAAGGCGCGCGGCCCTCAGCGACCCAGGGGGGCGCCGTGGCCGCCTGGCCGCGATGTCCGACGCGTCCGGAGTCTGGCACGGCGTCGCGATCCTGCCCCTGCGGAACCAGGTGATATTCCCCGGCGTGCGCAGCACGGTGGAGGTGTTCCTTCTCCTCCTCGTTTCCTCTTCCTCCTCCTCCTCCTCCTCCTGCTTCTCCTCCTCCTCCCCCCCTCCTCCTCCTCCTCCTCCTCCTCCTCCTCCTCCTCCTCTCTGCCTCCTCCTCCTCCTGCTCCTCCTCCTGCTCCTCCTCCTCCTCCTCATCTGCCTCCTCCTATTCCTCACCCACCACCTCCTCCTCCTCCTCCTCCTCCTCCTCCTCCTCCTGCTCCTCCTCCCCATCATCATCATCATCATCATCATCATCATCATCAGCAGCAGCAGCAGCAGCATCATCATCATCATCATCATCATCATCATCAGCATCATCATCATCAGCAGCATCATCATCATCATCCTCATCATCATCATCAGCATCATCATCAGCATCATCATTATCATCATCATCATCATCTTCATCATCAGCATCATCAGCCCTTCTTCCTCCCCTCCTCCTCCTCCTCCTCCTGTTCCTCCTCCTCTCCTCCTCCTCTCCTCCTCCTCCTCCTCCTCCTCCTCCCTCCCTCCTCATCATCATCATCATCATCATCATCATCATCATCATCATCATCATCATCATCATCATCATCATCATCATCATCATCATCATCATCATCCGACTCGAATTTACGTATCCATATTGGTTGCATGTCGTGATTGTCTTAATGTTTTCCCTCTTCCGCTGCCGCTTGCCTCGGACACGGAGGTCGGCCGACCTCCGTGCCCGCATTAGAGGCGCATGCACCCCGCATTCGGTACAAAAGCATATTTGTTTAACGTACACACGTTTTCATAGTTGGTACCGGATGTCCGGCTCCCTTCTATTATGTTTTGCCGCTATGGCCCGCGCGGCATCTCCACCAGTCTTTTGCTTGTTACTGCCTTCCCCATCATTTCTATCGTGCTTGGCAATGATAATCCAGCTCGTTTTGTTCTGCGTATTCATCCACCTCCCGCTCGCTACGACGAACGACGAGGCGGACGTCTACCAGAACAAGTATGCCTTCGAGATTTTCCAGAAGCGCGACGCCCACCCGCCGCCGCTCCCTGCTTCTCCCCCGGGGCGTACATTACTTGTGTTGGAGTCGCGTTCGGTGCCACTGGTCGGATTCACGGTTGAAAAAAAACACCGTCGTTCCCGTCAACAGACCCACCCCGTGGCCCCGAGCTTCTCGCAGCTATGTTGCGGGGGCCGCGGGAGACGCAGGCGGATAAGAGCATCGATTCGAGTAGGAAGTCAGCGGGGTGTTCGACAACTACATTGTCGCATGCCAAAGGGGCAGTGAAACGGGGCTGGGACAGGGACTGCAGGTCTTCGTTCTTTTGGTACACGACGCATCGACAAACCCAGCGATTCTCTTCAGACTGGCAGGACGAGATCCCGATGCGCACCCCTCTGGGCTATCGCGCAGCTGGCGGCACTCAGCACAGCGACGACATGGCGCGCGAGGGGCATTCTCGCAACTACGTTGCTGGGTCTCCCGAGCGCGGCGACAGCCGCAACGACGCGACAGAAGATATGATCCAGTACACGGACGAAGAGGAACACGCTCGGAGCGGGGACCTTCGACGGCTCCGAAGCCCACGGTCAGAGCAACGCCGTCGGTGTGCCCCCAGCTTCCAGCACCTCCTTGACCTATGGAGGGACCTCCACTCCGGATGGAAGGCCATCGGAGCGGGCATGCTTGCCTTGGCCAGCGGCCCCACTTGCATGGACGCCGGCGGCGGCAACGGCAGCGCGCGGCGCCGCCGCACCTGGGGGATCGTCGAGCCCGGCTCGAGCCCGGCTCGAGCAGCAATCTCGGGTTCCCTTCAAAGATGGGCGCGGGAGGCGATGTTTTAGTCCGCGGCTGGGTTTCGCCAGGCGGCCCACGTCTCATAAAGAGAAAGCGGAAGGGCCGCGGCAAGGGCCACCGAGCCGGCCTGGCCGACGCGTCCGAAAATGACCCCCGAGAGACATTCGCGAGCTTCGGGAAGGCCAAGGGCAAAGAGCAGTTGAGATTCAGGACCAGCGGCAAGGGTTCGGGCCGTCAAGGCAACCCTATGGGCCCAGACGGGGCGCGACTCGAATGCCACGAGTGCCAATCAGAGGAGCACCTCGTGCGCGATTGCCCCTGGCGCCGCAACCAAGGGCGCCCTCTCTTCCTCGGCGCCTACGCCCCAGCACTACCAGCATCCACACCTCTATCATCTCTGAGGCAGCGAGGGCCACCGAGCCTAGCTGAACAGCAACCCCCGGCGAACACGCACGCGGCGCGGATAATCTGGGACTCCGCCAGCCACGGGCAGACTGCGTTTGCAGGCTCGGGCGCGAGTGACCCCGTGCAGGGCGCTGATCCCTGGATGGGCGGACAGCCTACACCAGCATCAATCAGCAGCACCGCGACCATCAGCAGCATCAGCAGCTACTCCGCCAAGTTCGTCGCCGGACGGTTCGGGGCAACCGGTCGGCGCATCTCCATCGTCATCGACCACCCCGCGCGACGCCGAGCTGCGACGACTACGACAGGAGACCGACGATCTCATGGGCCGCGCGCAAGCCTCTGCTCAGCCACCAGGCTCGGCGACTGCGTTGCAGACCCACCTGATAGCAGCGGCGGAGCCAGCACCCGCCGCGCCCACAGCACCGACAGCTCCAGCAGCACCGCCTGCACGACCACAGTGGACACGAAAGCGGCGGTGAATTCCCTTGGGGACAGGACAAGTGGTGCGACTGGCGGGGCGGCATCCACGCGCGCGCCGCAGCTCCCGCGCCACGTGCTGCCGACGTGCAGCTCCCGACGTTGGAGTACATGCCACCAGTGGCTTCGCTCGACATCAGCACGCCATGCGGATCGAGCTCCACTAGGCCACCACAACCGGCACCGGCACCCACGCAACCGCCAGTGCCAGACACCCCCTCTGGATTGGCCATGTTCAACCATCGGGGAGAATGGCCGCGCGAATTGCCGGCCGCGAGAAATGGATGTCTGGCGGCAATCGGCCCGAGCACTGCACCGCGCGCGCTCTACTCTCGACGGCAACCAGCGACGACAACTCGACGAGCCCCACGGCGCACAGCTGGCACTGGAGCTATACTACGACAGCAGGCAGACCAGCAGCGCCAGGCCGCACGGAGTTGCGGGGAGACGCCGACTAACCCCCTTTTCTGCCGGCTGCGGCGCCAGTTACACCTCCCACAAACGGTGCTTTCAACGGCGACGATGGGAAATGCCCGATCTGTTTCGAGGCCGTCGTCCACGGCGAGAGAGTTGGACGATTGCAGCGCCGACGCATCTTGCACCGCGCATGCCGTCTACAGCTCGCGCAGAACACCGACGCCAACTTGGCCCGCTGCCTGGCGCGCTGCGGACCAGCCAGCGCCATCGCCGACTTCCGTTTCATTGGCGCAGATCGCGCACGCGCGGGCCCGACACCCGCGACGCCGGCCCGCGTCTCAGCAGCAGGAGATGCGCCGCAGGGGGCGCCGCCACACCAGGACATAGCACCATCTCCTCGGCCAGCTCCAGCACTCGGGACACCACGGCAAGGTCGTCGAAGATCCCTAGGCAGCGTTTCCGGTGTCGGGTCCGCGGTACATGCGCCCGTTCTTTGCGACGCTCACCTGGATTTACACGTGTCTCCTAGCAGGCCTGCATCACAGGGGCCCGCATTTCCGCGGTGGCCGACTTCGCCAGGCGCAGGCTCGGGCTCCCAGGACGATTCGCCGTGCTACCTGGCAAGCACAGCCTTCGCGGGCGGTCGGGTAGGCGTCATCGCCCATACCGACGCCCCGGCCAACTGCCAACCTCGGGGGCGCGCGATTCGCCCAGAACTTGGCCCGGCGAGCCACGCAGTCGAAGCTCCAAACCTCGGAGGAGAGGTTGCCCGCTCCACTACGCGGCAGGAGTGGGCAACGGGTCACAAGTGGCGACTGGGAAAGTCATGGCCTCATTGCCACAACATCATCACGCGATGGTGCGACCTGAGCCGAAGGACGGCTCAGGCGACATGATATTTGCCTTGTTGGGTCTGCAATCCACGCAGTCCAACAACGAGGCGGTGGAGACTGGCGCGAACCACAAGTGCCCCACCTTCCCCGGGCCGGGCGGCTACGAGATCACCTGGAGCCCAAGCGCGGTACACTTCGACCTGGAGTACGCTCCGAGTGGACACCGTTGCACCCCGGCAGACGACTTCAGCAAGCTCCAGCTGCACTCCAGGGGCCCGCCGCCCAAGCAGCTCACGCTGCTTGCGGTGGGCAGCGATAGTCAGGATCACCGCGATGCCGACGGACGAGAGTTCAACGAGCTACAGGTCCAATTTTTCGGTCCGAGTGCGAGAGCCCCTACGCGAGCACCACCGGCTCCGCCAGCTACGACTTGCACACCAGCTCCGACTCCAGAATTCCGACCTGGGCGTCGGGAACTGGCACCCACCGGCATAGCAGCACTGGCACCACCGGGCACATACATACGCACTGCCCCACTCTCGGGCCCCGCGCTCAAGGGCACCGACACCACCTGCGGCGCGGCGGACCCCGACTACCTCGGGGAGATCAAGGACATCGCGCACATAGCCACCCCGCGGACCCACGCTGTCGAGCAGGGCCGCCGCATCGCCCAGCTCATCGTGGAACGGCACAACGACGAGGCCGGAATCGTGGTCGCCCAGCCCACCTACATCGTCTAGGGGATCAGGTGGTTTTGGATACACTGTCACGACTTCTCCCAGTCACGACACCATCCCCAGAGATGTGGCCATCCCTATCTCCGCAGGTCAGGGGGTTACTGTGTTGCCGACTGCCCTGAGGAGCCGACCCAGTAGGGAATCGCTGGGCCCGCCGCCCACCAGGCCGGCCCTGCCGACCTGCCCCAGCAGAGGAGGGCAGCAGGCCCAGGACGTCCCGCCTGGGTCTTGGAAAAGGGGCGGGACACACCACAGGCACTGCAGGGTCACGGCTACGACGTCATCCGCAACACCGACTTTGGCTGCGCAGATCGGTCGCTAGTCGTTATCGGACCC